CATTTATCAGGGGGCCAGTTAATTGGAACCTCTTCCGTCAAATACTGGATGATAATATTGACCTTAGAGTTTCCTTAAAAACACCTGCAGACCTAGATGAAGCAGTATATTCCATGACTACCTTGATCCAACAAGCAGTTTGGACTGCATCTTCACCTGATCCTTCTAAAAAATACCGCAAAATAAATCCTCTACCCCAAGACCTACTGGACCTTATTAATAGGAAACGATGCTCTAGGACCATCTGGCAAAGAACCAGGCATCCTGATGATCGGAAATCATATAACTATTATTCCAAGCAGGTAAAACAAAAACTGGCTACGTTTAGATCCCAATCCTATAATTCCTATCTTTCCTCACTATCTGCAAGTGATAACTCCCTCTGGAATGTAACAAAAAAAATCCTTAAATTCCAATCCTTTTCCCACCCCCTCCGCCGTGATGATGGTTCCTGGGCTTCGTCAGATGAGAATAGAGCAGAAGAGTTTGCTAAACATCTATCGTACACATTCACTCCTCATCCTGAACTCCATCCCTCCCATACTGCTGAAGTTAAAGAATTCCTCTCTTCATCGATTCCTCTCTCCTTACCTCCTACAGCCGTCAACCCCTCTGAGGTCAAATTCCTTTTAAAGAACCTAAAACCTCGCAAATCTCCAGGACACGATCTCCTTACTTCCCAGATCCTCAGACAACTTCCCAAAAAAGCAATTATATTCCTTACATATCTATTCAACTGTATCCTCCGCACAACCCACTTTCCCCTGGTGTGGAAACACTCCATAATTATCCTCTTTCCTAAACCAAGTAAACCTGTTAATTATACATCATCCTATAGACCGATAAGCTTACTTCCGATCCTTTCCAAAATCTTTGAGAAAATCCTTCTCAAACGCATCCTACCCATACTCGAATCCCACAATATCCCTTCCCATCAGTTTGGATTCCGCTCAAGACACTCCACTGTCCAACAAGGCCTTCGAGTTGTGGACCACATATCCTCTGCACTTGAAAACAAGCAATATTGCACTGGTGCCTTTCTGGACGTAGCTCAAGCTTTCGACCGGGTGTGGCACGATGGCTTGCTTTTCAAGCTCAAAACCCATTTACCTCAACCCTTGTACCTAGTCCTCAAATCTTACCTTTCAAATCGCTCCTTTCAAGTCCGCTGCGGCACTGAACTCTCCAAACATTATCCAATTGAGGCTGGTGTTCCACAAGGCAGTGTCTTGGGCCCAGTTCTCTATATCCTTTTCACCGCTGACATCCCTTCAAGTCCTGATACCTTCCTAGCAACATTTGCTGATGATACTGCCATCCTATCCTCCCACTCGGATCCTCTAATAGCGTCCCAGAACCTGCAAAGACACCTTTCCTTCATTGAGCAGTGGTGCAACAACTGGCGCATCAAAATTAATGAATCAAAATGCAAGTATGTAACTTTCACTCTTCGACGCAGATCCTGTCCGCCAATCCTTTTTAATTCAATTCCTCTTCCCTACTCAGACACAGTCCGATACCTTGGCTTCCTTCTGGACAAAAGACTGACTTGGAACCCACATACGAGACTTAAAAGACAAGAGCTTAACCGACGATTTGGTCAGCTATATAGATTACTAAACAGAAGATCTCATCTCTCAACAGAGAACAAATTATTAATCTACAAGACCATACTGAAACCTATCTGGACCTACGGACTTGAACTGTGGGGGGCAACTAAATCATCGAATATCAAACGCATCCAATCCTTCCAGTCCAAAGTCCTTCGAACAATAGTCAATGCTCCATATTATGTCACGAACAAGACCCTACACCATGACCTTAACATCCCATATGTCCATGACATCATCCCATCCAGATTCTCCAACTTTCACCAGAACCTCATTCATCATCCCAATCCTCTAGCGCAATCCCTATCCAGCTCCGAGCATCCATACCATCCCCCTCGAAGGTTGAAACGGCAGTGGCCTCGAGATCTTTTGTAAATATGCCTTTGGAGTCCTGGCAATGGCCAGCTTCTCCACTCATGTCCTGAGCGTCTGTGGCTGTATTGCCCTCTTTCAGTCTCCACTGGCTTCTAATACTAGTGATGCGACTGGAAAAGTGGCACTGGGATCTTCCGGAGTCTTGCTTTGCCTTCCGCGTGTGGAGGTAAAAGCCTGGCTCGGAGATTCTTGGGCAAATGTATATATTGTATATAGTTATGATTGTGTTTAGAAGTTTTTATTTTATTTTATTTTTTTATTTTTTTTTATTTTTTTTTTATTTATTTACCTTCTTCATCAGTATTATTTATTTACTTCTTATATTTATATTTATTTCTTTATTATTTGTATATATTGTATGAATGAGAACTTTTAGCCCTAATGCTTATAGCCCTCCAGCAGTGGCTGATTGTATTATTATTCAATAAATAGATTTAAAAAAAAAAAAAAAGATATATCCATGTTCTATCAATTTTTTATAGGTATAAAAGATCCGAGACTGTTATTTGGTTTAATGTTTGAACACACAGATAGAGTTTTCATTGCCTACCGTTTTTATACTATGATTTGACTGTTTTTCTGTAATCTAAATTCTTTTGATCTTCCTGTCAGGGGATTGTAGATATGTGGTATTCTTACACGAGCCGATTTTACTATGTCTTATAGACATGCGCAGTGCCATAATGCTGGATATCGTCAGTGGCATCGAAATCACTTTTATTAACGCCAACATTTCATTTCCTGCTAAAGGCTCACCATGACGTAACTTTTTCACGATTTTATAGTCATGGACCCAAAACCTTGGCCATCTTTCTAATCCCTTTAGATACCCGATGAGCTAACGCTGGATATAATCGATTATGAATCTAACAGCCATGGCCTTGAAAACTTTCCTTGTCCAATGAAGTCGTACACTTATCAAGGTTTGACTCATAAAGTTGTCAATTTCAGTTTTATGATATCCAACTTTGAAGCTCGAAGCCATTCAACAAAATCGCAAAATGCGTTATAACTTCGATAATATTACATTCTTTAAAATTACATATTCTTTTTTTCTGTCTAAGGCGTGATGTGACAGTCTTTTATGGGCTAAATAACGAGCAGTCTGCGTTTTGTGGAAGTAACTCAGTTTGAATGAGAATAGGGGGGTTGTCAAGCACATTATGATATTAAAATGATAGTCCTCTCCAGGGGCGCTCGTCACTTCTTAAAAATAAAAATAAAAACGTATTAAAATAGTTGATTTTATCTTATCAATAAATCAACCGTATTAAAGGAAGGTTGAACGAAATAAAATTCAAATATAACATAGTATAAACAGCTTAGGAAATAAATTTTGTTTTTTAGGGAAAGGAATATTAGGGGAATAATCATTTTCCGGGGTGCAGAATGTGCAGTGGTTCTCTCCAGTGTCCAGAAGAGGGTGGCATGATGAAAAAATTTGAGGTTAACCCATTTTTATATGGTTATGAATTTTTAGAAGGAACTATATTTGTGTGGTGTTTCAAATTTGGATAATCTTTGAAACAAGAGAAACAACTTCAATTTTTAAAATTCTACTTTTACTGATATCGTTTTTGAGAAGTGAGGAACAATGAAATTTCTCGGGAGGGAGTGAATGCACCATTCCCCTTTAGGGGACTCCCATGCTTTTATTTATATTAATTTAACTAAAAATAGTTTAAACCAATTTTCCCAGGACTAAGTTTCCTACATCTATCTGAAGCTTATAAATACTTAGATAGAGGAGGTAGGATGTTCTATTTGCTGGTGCTTGTCTAAATGTTTGATGAAGCACATGAACTAGGGATAGGGAAGTGATGTACTGTAGTTGAGCTAGTGGTAGTTGTTGTTGAATGTTTAAGAACCTAGAGAGGCGATGTCTGCAACTGAGGGAACTTTATTTATAATTTCTGTTCCACCCTACAGAAATTATTTAGTTTCGTTCATAATTGGTAGGAAAGAAAGGAGTTCGATCGAATATCTTTAAACAACTTCAATTTGAAATATTCTTTTTAGAATTTTCTTTTCTTTTATAGTTTAAGTTAATTATCCACTAATCTAGATCTTTGTTTATGTAGAAGTATGGTGTGAAATTGATTTTATCATAACCAAACCAAAAATTGTGATAAAATCCTTGAAAGTATTTTTATTTATTTTCATTTTGAATGAATGAAGTTAAGTAATTATTTCCATTTTATTTGACCTATTTATTCACTTTATCCTTTAAAAATTGTCTTTAGAGCATTACCATATCAATTCATGCTCCTTCAGGATATTTTCCACTTGTTTTTAATTAAATATGAAAGGGCTAAAAGGAGAATCAAATTAAATAGTGAATTTAAAAATCTTTAATTTGAATATTTCTCCAATTTATTAATTTGAATTATGTTATTATGATATTTTTTATTTCAAAGATTTCTAATTATTGTTAATTAGAAGGTTTTCCTCATAATAGGAAAACCTTAGAAATTCATGAGTTTAAGATTGTTGATTGACAACTTTTGAAACTTACAATAACTAGTTGGTGTACATGGACACCTTCTCAATATTTTTTTTATGATTTACAAAGATTATAATTGAAATTAGTTACAAAAGCATCAATTATGAAAATATATATATATATATACATAATATGGAATTTATAAAATAGATATATATTTATAAGTATATAATTTGTATAATAAAATTGCTTGAGGTGGGAAAGAAAAAAAGTAGCATTGATTATTTTTTTGTAAGACTAATTTCTTAATTTGTATGCAATAAAATTAGGATATCTCTTCGTTATCATAAAATAATATAATAAATAAGTTTATTTACCTATTTAAAAATTATGCTTTTATCTTATTTATTATTAGCTTATATATATTTCTTATTTCATTAATTTGCTAACAAATGATTGAGGTGAGAATCAAGAAAATGTTATAAGCCTTTTTTTCAATGTAATGAAAATTTTAGCATGAAGTTATTTAAAAATTTTGCATTTTAATATAAAGAAACCTATCTTTTCCACAGGAGTATTGGGTGCACTGCACGAGTGTGCCTTTCCGATCTCCGAATGCCTCTGATCTGGAGGGACACGGACCACTTCAAGAACAAAGGTGATTACAGGAGGTTCGCTGTGTTCTGCCTCGCAAGGATCGGTACTGAGATGTATGACACATCCCTCTTGTGTCCTGTTGACCGATCCCTTACCGACCTCACCTTCCCAGATGTTCTAGTCTTCAACCAAGTTAGCTCAGACTTCACTTTTACTCTTGAAGTCTACAGTCACATGTTAAGGGATGACATGTCAATGGCTAGTACAAGAAAGAAAATCAAGAACACCATCCACAATTCCATCAGTCGGACAGTTGGCAAGAAGCTTGCTGCCTCTCTCCGGGATGAGCTTAACTCAGGAAAAATGTAAGTGATTGTTGAAATATACTATAGCTCTCCAAACTTTTAGAATATTTTTTAATATGTAATATAAGAATTATAAAGAATATTGCTGGTTGTATGATATGAAATACTCCTCAACAATTCTAATAAAAAATTAACATCTGTAATCTCATTTTTTCAATATCTCTTTATAAAAGCTAGGAGTCTGAAATAATATAAAAGAAGGCATTTGAAAGACATTTTTAAAGTTGGCTTCCTAAAAATTTACTTATATTCTTGGAAAAGATATATTGTTTTATAAAGTATATATCATAGTATTTTTCTTGTATTATAATTTTATTATAAATTAGAGACTTTTTGCAATAAACTGACGATATATCGGCTAAACGAATTTATCCATTCTATAAGACATTGAATGACTCGTTAGGTATAAGGGTTCTTACGGGAACCTTTTGTGAAATCAGCTCTGATGAAGGCCTGGACTTTGGGCTGAAAAATAAAAGTAAATATAATTTATTTAGTTTTACTTTGTATTTTTGAGTGAACACTCTAACCAACTTCTCTTCAATTATTCACTACAGTCAACCATCAATCCACTATTATAAAGTAAATAATATTCTAACACTTATTATTTACAGCGGACCAAACTTCGAGCTGATGGCATCAGCACGACTTACTTTGGACGATATAAACGATGGAATCAGAACTCATGACCTCAAGCTGGAAACGTCTGGTAAATACTAAGCTTTTTCATTTTTCTGATCTGAAGCACAATATGCTTTCTGTTTTTTTTTTGTTTTTTTTTGCTTTTTTATGCACTTAAAAATAAAAATTCATGAACCATTACAGATTACCCTGAATTAAGTGGTATAAATCTATTCATATCTCAATTAAATAAAATATGTTAAAAAATTATTATTTTTTCAAAGTTTTGAATAAAAGAATTAAAAAATCTTGGATGGAGAAAAAAATTGATTTAATTTCTTAGAGGCATTTAAAAGTAAATGGCGCGATCTTTAGATAGTCTTGATATTTATACCATCTTTTACAATCCAAACCATTTTCTGGACAAATCAAGCTGTCTTATAAATTCAGTGCCTTTTTAAATGTATAGAAATTTCGCTTGTCAAGAATTGTGTTCCTCAATTTTATCGGCTTTGCACTTGGCCCTTTATTGATGTCCAGTGAACATATTGAAACATTATTTACATAATCTGTCTTTTATATTCAGGATATATTTCTCATTATTAATTTCCAGATATTGCAAGAAGAAGTGGAGATGGCCTCCCCCTCTTTGGTCATTTCTGTTGCCGCTTGGCAGCCCAGCCCGAGTGTCTCATCAAAGAGACGGTCTCTTCAATAACAGAAGGTGGTGGGTTTGCCAGCCTTCAGGGATTCTCAGTCAGCCTGTGGCCAAGCAGGCAGGCAAACCTTGATGGCAGCCCTCCTCAGGCCGTCGTTCCTGTTAACAGGGTAAATATTACTTAAATTTTTCTTTAATCAAAATTCAACAATCATAGTTGTATAAAAGTAGTTGATTAAAAACTAAGAACAGGAGGAGCTCTAGATTAAAATTTATTTTGTCCATATGAACTCATAAAAATCATTTTGATCTGGATTAAAACGTAGATGAAATTCATTTTGCACTGAATAAGAAACTTCAAAACTCTCATAACTCATTGACAAGAAACAGTATGATCTGAAATATTTTAGAATTATATTTCTTTCTGAAAATAATTGACAATTATTTTATAATTGGAAAAAAACAAACAAAAATCTTTGACTCTCTTTAAAATGCAGGTAAAACAAACTAATCTGTCAATGTCTCACCAATTCAAGCACCATTAGGACAGAAAACAATTTAAATCTTATATATGCAAATAAGAGACAAAATATTTCTCGTCAACAGTAAAAAAAATATACATTAACTATAAATAATGCATCACTCTGTAACATCCATACATGGAGTATGGAATTAATAGAACAGTTATTCATTGATAGCATCAAACAATCGACCATCGCCCATCCATAGTTGATGTACAACTTTATTAAACCTCCCTTTTTTTTCTCCTTTAGTGAGGTATTCCTTAAGAAATTTCCCAATCTTATTATCTGCATTAATTATTTATCTGTTTCTGTCTCTCACTCACAACACAATTTATTGGATGACTTTTAAATCCATTATCTTTCTATCCTTCACATAGCATTCTTTTAACAAAGAAACTGTAATTCCATTCATTAGGAAAAGTTAATATTATTTAATCCTCACAACTTACAATAAATATTTCTAATTATATTAAAAGAATAGGCAACTGAAATGAAAATTGGTATATTTATTAAAGTATTGATGAACCTTAGGAAATGCTAATAGGATTACAACTGGTTGTATTTTGTAGTGAAATTCCATTTTTAATAAATATTTGCATATACATGTCTGTTTTACTTAATAGTATCATATTTTTGCAGGAAACTGTAATTAAATGTACAAAATCAGGAAATGAGATCTTGCTGGTGAATGAAAGGGAAGGGAAAGAAGAAACAACAGTGCTTAAATTGAGGAATCTTGAAGAGAGAGAATTGTGGATCAGGCATTTGACTGACCATGTTAAAGACCACGAGAGGTATGTTCACCGTTATCTATATAAATAAAAAAAATATATTTGTGTCATTCTTTCCTGATGTCAGTATCGGACTTTAGTTGAGGGAATCAAGCTCTATACCTTTTTAATTGACTAGTAAAAAGGAAAATCTTAATTTGACTTTTATATAATTTTCATGAATAATTAGGCTTTTATAATAAAAATCATGTTTTGGATTGCAGATTTTCCTGATATTTTTGTATATTGTTAATGAGTCAATTAATTGTTTTCACTAAACAATAATTTGAGCTGAAAGATTTGTATAAGATAAAATATATATCATTCAAGATTAAAATAATTTTTCTGAGAGTGAAATTTTATTTTTAGATGGAAAGGGGCTGCAGAAACAAATATGGAAATATACTCACCCGGTTCTGGAAAACAGAACTTCGTCAGGTCTCACAGGCAAGGTTCACTTTATGATGAAACACCAATCATAGGTATGTTAAAATTTATTGTGTAGTAATCACAATTAGTTGCTTACATCAACATTTATTTATAGACCACTAACATGTATTTTGGGCATTACTTTGATTTTGTTGATGTTATGATTTTTGAAGCCAATAAACTGGGTAACCACTTCCTTTTCTTGTTGCTAACTAATGTGGTTACAACTGTCCTCACATGTGTAGGTTGAAGACTTAACAAGTTGTATGTACTACTTGGTCTCAATATGTATGGGCCCCATAAAATGTTATTTCACCTCAGAGTGCAAGAAAAGGAGTTATGATAGTACAGGATTATATTACATTATATTAGTACAGGATTATATTACATTATATTAGTACAGGATTGGTTTAGATTTACGTATGCTAGTATTATGTTTCATAACTCTCAAGTTTCATCAAAAATGGTTCTGTAGTTTAGTGGAACATGACAGAGGTACCATCGGCTACGCTGTGGACCAAGGGAGGATCGATTGGAAGCCATACCTAGCGTTTTTAGCCTTAACCGGCTTCCAACCTTACTCCCCGGACCGGGTAAGCCACAAAGAATGCAGGCTCACAACAGGAGCCCACGGAATAAGACAACTCCTACTACCATAACTTCCGTCCACTCGCTACACACTGTACCAGAAGATAGCCTGAACAACGCCAAGACTATCTGTACACTGGTGTCGTGCAGCGAGTAGTCGTAAACACAACGACCACTACGACCGCCACGGCCGAACAGTGCAAGCACTCTCGCCGTCCACCCATAGCGCCGCCGGGGCTCCGGCGACGCCCCGTAGTACCAATTTGGTCGGGAAGCTGCTTCCCTGACCTCAGAGCACGATTGGTCTCAGGCTCCGCAATCAGTAGATCGCTACGGCTTTACATTGCCTGCCGATGTACAGGAGGATGCCTGCACCTCCGCAGTCAATGAGGGACACGACTCAAACCTAAGGGTTCGAGACGATGACCGTCCCCGTAGTGGAACATGACAGAGAAATATACTAATTCTATTAAAAACAACTTTTTCTACACTATGCTCATTACTGTACCATATGCTAAATAAATGAAAACAGTAATAAATGCATCAGTGGAATGTTAATCAATGAAAATTTGGTCTTTGATTATGAAAACATCTGGTACACGCTCTACTTGAATATAAATTATTTTCTGGCAATGTTGGGCAATTAAAAAATTTTTGAAATACATTTTAACCAAACTAAAGCTTAAAGCATGCAGTAAACAAATCATTAATACTATTAAAATAATGAAAATTCTATTTATTATAGCAACGGTTGATTATGGATTGTACAATTTGTTGATTATGGATTGTACGACTATCAGTTAATAAATTATTATTTTCCATTGTAAAGTTTACTAAAATGAAATTACGAGATTTTCATTGCCTGCCATGGATAGGTCAAAAGTTGTCACACTAATTGTGAGTGGACAATGTTGGAATTTCACAAAGGGAAAATTCATCAAATTATTCACTTATGTAATTTTCTAAAAGGTTACTTGATGATTTTTTGGAATAAACATTCGATAGATACCTAATTATTTAAATATAATATCTTATCTAGAGTTATTAAACTACAGTAAATGTATTTGAGATTATAAATGTATCCATCAAATATTTTTATATTTCACTTCTTCTTTCACACTAGTACAATGAAATTATTTAGTTATTATTTTACATTTGTTAATTTTATATTTTCTGTATATATGGTGTGAATGTGTCCATATATCACTATAATTATTGTCCACGAGACAAATTGTTATAAGTCTAAATAAAAAAAAGAAAAAAAAAAGTACAATGAAATGGTATTTCAAACAATGGCATTGGCTTGATTCGGTGGATTTTAAATACTTTTTTCAAACTTAGAAAAAAATTTAAAGTTTACATTTAGTAAGAAAATTCCATTTAATTTCCTTGGAAACATGTGATTTACGTTAAATAATGTTAGATTTTCAGACATTATTATTTATATTTTTTTTCATCACACTCCATTACCTTTTACAACTTTATTTATTACATATTATTTTTTCTAAAATTCTACACTTTCCAAGGATATGTTATATGTTTACCTTTTAACTATTATTTCCGGGAATTCATTTTCAACCTAGATAAGAATTTTTCTTTTTTCTCCTTTATTGAATTATCAAATTCTTTCAAAAATTATATATACCTTTTTTTCACAATGAGAAATAGTTAATTATTTACATTAAACCAAACTAAAGGTACTTTAGAGGAAGACATTTTGAACATTACGCATTTAAACCCTGTTAATCGACATCAATAGGGATAAAACCTAAATGATATTAAAGATTACTTAATTATACATTGATACACCGAGTAATGATTAATCAAAATCATTAGAACCATTTAAAAATGTGTAATGTAATGTGTGTAAAATTGGTTATATAATGTGACACGACACTTCCAGTTACCCGATTTTAGCGAAAAAGTTGCTGTCACTTCGGAACTATATACAAACCTTAAATACACAATTTAAGTTTCGTACTGCTTTTCGTTTTTGGGCTAGCCTGTTCACACACACACACAGACCATTTTGCGGGACTTGTTAATTTGGACTCAAGGATCTCAAAACATGTATCTCTGTCAAAACTGAGATTCGAAAATTTTCACGATCGCAATACATTCCCTTTATATATATTTCAGTTAAAGTAAAAAGGTTATTGTTGTCATAATAAGTGAACATTTTGTAATTCTTATTTAAGAGTTAATAGTTTATGAAATGTTAATTTAGATAATCATAATGGTTTTCAAAAGAAGCATTAGTTAAGATTCAGGCTTTCAGTTTCTCATATCACTATTAAATTATGCCTAGGAAAAACAATGTCAACCGTATTTTACCAATAAAGCGCTCAATACATATGGGATTGCATGGTGTTATATTCACTTGTAAATAATTATTTTAAATCTTCCTAGTAAGATCAGCTAAAATATTAGTTTTGCAAAATAAAACAACATAAATTTGGGTACATTGTAACAGCAAGTCTATTATAATATGGTCTATTGGACACTGTGGCTATATATGGACTTTTTTTTTTACCATGAACAATTTTAAGTTCTCAATATTTGTTTGTCAACAAAAATTTCAACTTTTCAATTAAAAGGATTAAATGTTAATAAAAATATATATAATCTTAATATATTTCCTAAAATTTATTTCTTGTTTTGTTGCAGACACAGGCCGTGGGACTGAATATCGAGCAACTGTGCAGGACATTTTTGGCCTAACCCCATCAACCAGCCTTAGTTCTTGCTCTTCTTCCTCATCACCTACCTTGCGGGAGAGGTCCCTCTCAGTCTGCAGCAAGCCAAAGACAGCCTCCCGATGGCCATTCTCGAAGGCGACCAGCCACGATTGAGCTACTAGTCTTCTACAAATTTTCTTCCAGTGACAACTTAGTTGTCTCCCTAACCAATCTATGATCCGTTGTTGTCTTAATTTATTCATCTTATTGATCTAGAGACTATGTGAAAGTGAAAAAAAATTTCTTAAGCATACCAGAACATTAAAAGTTGTTCTGTTTGTGTAATAATGCTTGAGGGTATTTGATGAAAGTGCAAATAGTTTGTTGTGAACTTTTTTTTTTAAAGATAAACCCGAACTAGATAGTATTTATGTTTTATATGATTGTTTTAAATTGTCATATAATTTATGCTGTGTATTTATGATTATATTATTTTGTAAATATGAATTTGTATAAATTTTATTTTTCTGTCTCAATTTTACCAAACATACAGTCAAAATTATCATTAAATTTAACATTATAATCAGTATTAATTCAGTGTTGAAGTATTCTGTAGATACATTTTTCTTTGTAATTTGAAAAATCCTTCACCATTTCTTTGTAAATTTTTATATTGTGTTCTGTAAGGTTAAAAAAAAGATTCAATAAACATTTAAGTAATGTGCTTGGTTCAACAATTTTATCCCTTTCATTGACTCATTTCCTTTATTAAAAATAAATGAATATTGATTGTAGGTAGTGTTTATTTTCTGAAATAGTAAATTACCTACTTGTCTATCAAGTGGCATGCTCTCTTTTGTGGAATAAATGGAGAGAGAAATACTTTATTTAAAGCACTTTAATAATAATACTAATATATATTACCAGTATATATTAAGGTACCAGTAATTATGAACTGCAATTTGAGTGATTACAGGTATAGGTTCGTAATCTCAATGGAAATGTATATAATGTAGTCCACCTCATAATCCTTATACTAATTTTTCCAACAAGACCTGGCCTAGTATAAATTATTGTCGGATCCATTGAGAAGAAAATTTTTATTTCAATTAGCAGTTTTTCGCTATCCTTAATTATTAATTGTTCAAACTGTAGTTCAAAATTTCAGTTTTTAAACCTCCATCACTTATTTTATGACATTATTTTTCACATTCAAGGCTACCTCATACCATTTCCAAGGTATAGTACAAATTTGAACAATTCTATCACTTATTTTATTTTTTAAAATAAGAGCTGGAAATAACATTATAAAATAAAAAAAAGGAAGGTATTCTTAAAAATACTTTTGTAGTTATACTTAATAATACTTCCTAAAATTATTAGATTATTCACTCTTATTGGATGTTATTATTTCTGGGAAGCATGAATTGAATTAATCTATGTTTCAAACTAGGTAATTAATTCCATTTTCATAGCAATTTTTTTACTATAATTTTTTACGTATATATATATATATATATATATATATATATATATATATAAAATATATAATAAAGGTAAGTATCGCGATCGTGAAAATTTTTGGATCAGATTTTTCAATGGAATTACTCGTTTTTAGGACCCCTGATTTCAAATAACCAAGTCCCACAAAATGGTCTGTGTGTGTGTATGTGAACAGTCGTTCAAAAACGAAAATTTGTACGAAACTGATATTACTTATTTAAGATAGGTGTGTGCCATAGATGTGACAGCAACTTAAAATCGGATAACCGGAAGTCCCACTTTAAGGGTGATATACATTTTTACAAGTTTCTCAAAAACGGCTCTTACAGTTTTGATTAAAACTTTGTTTTTCATTGTATAATTAAGTAGTCTTTATTGTCATGTAGGTCTTATCCCTATTGATGTCACTTTACAGGGCTTAAATGGCCAATGTTCGTAAATGTCTTCCTCTATAGTACCTTTAATATGGTTTATTTAAAAAAAGTAACTCTTTCATGAACATTAACTATAAAAAATGGCTTAAATATGAAGTTTGAAAGTATATGATAATTGGAAACAGAAGAAAAAAAAGAAAAACTAGGTTGAAAATTAATCTTCAGAAATAATAGTAATAAATAACAGTCAGCAGACTAAAGTATACGTACAATATATCGGAAAGTAGAAAATTTTAGAAAAACTAATATAAAATAAATAAATTTGCAAAAGGTAATGAAGAGTGATGAGAAAAATCCCGGTGTACTTAAATCAGGAATCGGGATGTGGTCTAGAAGACCAAATCTCGCTGTCAAAAATCTATAAGGTCTGTAGCGCCAACCAAGATAAAAACAAAAAAAAAACATTATTTAACGTAAATCACATGTTTCTAAGGAAATTAAATGGAATTTTCTTACTAAATGTAAACATTAAATTTTTTTTTCTAAGTTTGAAAAAAGTATTTAAAATCCACCGAATCAAGCCAATGCCATTGTTTAAAATACTATTTCATTGTACTTCTTTTTTTATTTAGACTTATAACAATCTGTCTCGTGGACAATAATTATAGTGATATATGAACACGTTCACACCATATATACAGAAAATATAAAATTAACAAATGTAAAATATTAACTAAATAATAATTTCATTGTACTAGTGTGAAAGAAGAAGTGAAATATAAAAATATTTGATGGATATGTTTATAACATCAAATACATTTACTGTAGTCTAATAACTCTAGATAAGATACTATATTTAAATAATTAGGTATCTATCGGCTGTTTATTCCAAAAAATCATCAAGTAACCTTTTAGAAAATTACATAAGTGAATAAATTGATGAATTTTCCCCTTTGTGAAATTCCAACATTATCCACTCACAATTAGTGTGACAACTTTTGACCTATCCATGGCAGGCAATGAAAATCTCGTAATTTCATTTTAGTAAACTTAACAATGGAAAATAACAGCTTAATAACAAATAGTCGTACAATCCATAATCATCATAGGTTAAATATTCAGATATATTTTCAAAAATCCCTAGGCATATAGGAGCCTTTCGGTTTACATAAGACTGATCCTAATTTCAACATTCTTTATTATTAATTTTAGTGATGTTTTTAGTTGCAAAATGTATACCTTCATTCACATTTCTTGTGAATTATTGCAGTATTTCAACACTGCAATCACCTACTCTGGAATCAACTTACTCACTCTCAGTATAGATATAACTTTTTCAACTAGAAATATCACTAAAATGAAATTACTCAAAAATGTTGAAATTGGAGTTAGTCATTCTGTCAATTGAATGGCTCCGAGACTAAAGTTGCCTCTTTATCGTCTATAAATAAATAAAATAAATCGCCTATGAAAGCAGATAAAATAACTAGATTTTTATTGCCTACCTTGTATTGAGCAATACCTTGTATTCATAAACAGCATTTTTGTTATTTTAATGGTATTTATGATTTGTTAGTTGTAAGCTTTAAGCTTTAGCTCTGTTTAAAATGCACTTCAAAAATTTTATAATAGCCAGACATTGCCAGAAAATAGTTTCTATTCAAAGTAGAACAGTAAGTGAAAGTTGTGTTGCATGCACCAGATTTTGTCTTTAGTTTTTATTTATATTAATTTAATGGCTTTACTTTTCATTTAAATTGAATTTTAATGGCTTCGGATGATTAAAAAAAAAATTTTTTTTTTCATGAAACCTACTTTCAATACACTTGGACTTGAAATGTTTTCTGGTAGAAATTCCTTAATGATTTTACTTCAAAATGTGATGGGGACTAGGCAGTCCCTCAATACAAGAAATACACATTTCTTTACATAGCCTGTATGTAAAGAAATGTGTATTATCATAATTTTAAAAAATATATCCCAAAATGAATGTAAACCATATTGTTTAATTAAAATTTATATTTTTTTAAAATGAATATGATGAATGTTCAATAATCTTCTAATGGATGATCCTCTCAGATTTGGATGATGTCATACCTGCTGTGCTAATGTGAGATACAAGAAAACTCGAAAGTAGAGGACTGGCACTGATTGACCGTGCAGTTCAAAAGTTTGGTATAAAACTTGTGTGCTGGCTGAAGGTGACCAGATGACTGGTGCTGGGGCTTTACCCACATTTCCTCAATTCTAACTTATATTACTTGGCAGTAAATTTAAATTCAAAATGACCTTACAAAAGATAACTATATAAACCCAATGACATAAAACTAAAAAAAAATTAAGAGTTATCCAGCATTTTTTTTTTTTCCTATGTCTAAGTAACATCTGCTTGATCAGCTATGTGTGCTCTTGCAGTCCAATATAATTTTGCTCTCCTAGCATAAGGGCTGTCCATTTCACTATAGGAACATCTTATGGCTTGTAATGCATGGCATGTATCAAGATGTTCTATCATCAGATCCAAGGAACACAGAGGGCATGTCGGGCTATCTTTTATACCGATGCGGTAGAGGCGCTTCTGAAGGAAATCCTGTAAGCATTCTAAAGCATGTCCAGCATATGATTTATACTTTTTTTAATTATATCAATTTAAAAATGGAATAAAACACGGTTCAAGAATCTTTTTGTAGGCCACATGAAATCGAAATCTTTTTTGAAGACTGTGCAGAGAGAGATTACTTGGAAGTACATTGAAATCTTTAAGGTGCATTTGGACTGCATCCAGGAATCTGTCTGAGGCAAGCCTTGCAGAAAGAAGGATGACGATATCATCTCTATCAGAAGCTGATTGAGGTCTCTCGCATTCCTATAATCTCTCACCATGTACTTCTATGAATCCTTTTCTTATATTCTCAAGATCACGGAGCCAATTACTTTTTAACACCTTTATCTATTGTAAGAGAGATAATTATTCAAATCTGTCATCATTGAAATAATAGTCTCTTAATCTAATAGATCTTGTTATTGAAATACATATGGATCTTAATTTATATTTATAAATCAAGACACCCATCTAATATTTTTATGGCTCAATAACTTACTTTTTTCTGTATTTAAAAAAAAAATCAGGTAAATCTTTGTTTGAATTATTGATACTAGTGTTCGTAGAGTGGCCAAAATTCGACCATAATTATAACTGAAAATTTAAGGAAAACCCATCAATTTACATTTTTTTCCCCACTCTTATACATTTTTTCATTCTCAATCTGAGAATATACACCTTTATATGTATTTACAATAATACGTAAGTGAAAGTAAAAAACAGTTCAGTATCAATCCTATACATTATAGTTTTTTTGCAAATAAAATTCTGAACCCATAGTATTTTTCTTTAGTCCCTTTTCAGAGATGTTATAAACATAAATTAAAAGAGCTCCAAAAAGAAGACAAGTTAAGTTTCATTAAAATCGTTACAGCCGCTTTGGTGCTACAGTCTAGAGCGACACATGTTTTTTGGCCCCCATTTCAAAATAAATGGTCGGATGGTAATGAAATAAATATAAAAACATTAGTCACAATTGTTGAAGAACTTTCAGAGATTAGCGGTTTAAACAAACAAACATTTACAATTTTATTTAATTGCACTGTTTCCAATTTTTTTTTTTTTTTTTTTAATAGTAACACTAAAAATCATTAGTAGCTACCAAACAGAAAAAAAAATTGGTGGACCAACAGAAAAGAAAAAGGTACTTGACTATTTTGTTTTTACCTGTTTATATAATGATAAAAGCAATGTTTTGGATTTGATAAAATAATTATTTTTGTGACAAAAAAAATAAAATGTATTTATTTGAAATTTTTCCCAGTTTACTCAAAATAGGAGCAATGTGGATAGGTTCTCTTCTGATAAATCCTATAGAAATAAATTCAAATATATATTTTGTATCGACATACCGATCACACAATAAATGTTTTCTATATGGTCGGCAGAATCAGAAGTTCTTCAAAATTTTGAATCTGTAAAATGTATAAATGTAATAAATTTAATTATTTTAATTTTCTTGTACTATACTTGACACTCAAATACATAAAATACAAGTCCATGAGTAATAAGAATAATTCAATCTTTTCTAGATAAAAAAAAGTTAATAATTAAAAACAAACAGTGAAGATAACAGAACATATGACATGGAGTAAAAACTGTCAAATTCAGAAGAATTATACAAAATGATCATCAATACTCTAACCATCCGTAAACAGTGTTGATGAAATGATATGCCTATTATTAAATACCTCTTGTTTACTTTTAAAGGAGCCGGCATAGTGCGCTATACTAGTAAAGTAAAAATCATAAGATTGAATCCCAGCCTTAGTTCCCAATGATTGGTCCCTGCGGGAAGTTAGACCATTACCCTCTAAATTAGGAGGCCTACAGATTGTAAATACTTGTAATAACATTCTAGAAAAAAAATATATATTTAATTTTAAAAGAAATAGTATTCTAAATTTACATGAAACAAAATTGTGATGAGACCTGTAGTTAAATAATTGTGTTTTTGTGGTTAATTAGTAATCAATTAATATGACAGTTACTAAATGCCTCAATTCATATTTCAATGTCAATTATATTTTGCAAAATTGATTTTAAATCATTATAAAAGCTTGTCTAATGAGAAAGGTCAACACCACATAAAATATTAAATCATTATGTTCATTCACACAAATACGGAAATAAGTAATAAATGAAATATCACAGTGGTGAACGCTTCAAGAAACAATGAAAATACTTGAATATATTTATAAACATTACATTCATAATCATAGGTGAACTGAAATTTAAGAAACAAAGGACAAATTAAATGATTATTTATTATTTGAAACAAAGGCAGTATTTTCAAGCTCTATTGTACCATCAAGGACAACTTTTTTCACAGTTTCACCCTTTTCTGCCAGGATCTCTTCTATATTTCTTTTACCTTCTAAATCTGAAAACCATCCAAGATTATCTGCAATTAAATGGTTGTTCTTGCAGCCATCACATTCTATAATAACAACTCCTTTATTATATGCTATTTTTGAAATCGTTTTAGTATTTCTTGTGTTACATTTCTTGCATGTAAATGCTATTAGAAATCTCACACTCTCAATTTTACCCAAGGGAACTCCATCTCCACCAGCATTGACTGTTGAAAAACTTAAACCTTTATTGGGATATTTAAATATCACATTTGTTTTTAAAATTTGTTCACTGGATTTCAGAAGAGCTAAATTACGAACAGAAGTTGACAACTCGCGGGCTATCCGCCTCAATGGGTATAAAAACATTATTTAAAAAGTTCCAAGTAAATGTTTACATTATGATTTTACTGAGCAGAATTTTTTCAAGTTAGCTGTATCATAGCTAGTTTAGATTAAATCAGAACCGAATTCAGAAAAAATTACAAAGCACAATCTTGATAGTACCATAACCATACCCTCATATAACCAACACTGCAATTTCTTTTCCAAGCTACGGCAACGTCGCTCATGAATGAGATTTGGCAACATTGTGATGTGGTGAACCCGTAGTTCATGACATTTTCAAGACAAAAATATGCTTTCGTTTTGACTGCTTCTGCTGGAAGTGTTTCTAAATTTGATTTACTATTTACTACATTTAACAATTAGTTTTCGAATGTTGGATACCAGCATATATGACCGGCAGTTGTGTGATTTTAGTGAATGGATCTGTTCATCAACCTAAGGATAATTCGCCGACAATGTTGTTGACCTCTTAGTAAATAGTTTACTACTATGACGAAATATTTTGCCTTAACAAACTTCCAATAACCATGTTTTTTTTAAAAACTGTTCACATGGAAGAGCCGTTTTGAGGTAAGACAATTTTTTGACTTCATTATTCTATACACTTTTTTAAGCTTAGCTGTTAAAATGGCTCTTCCTAAAAGAAAAGAAATTTATAAATACGAAGCTCCATGGCCTCTGTATAGTATGAATTGGTCAGTTAGACCTGACAAGAGATTTCGCCTAGCACTTGGAAGCTTTGTTGAAGAATACAACAATAAAGTTCAAATAGTTCAGTTAAATGAAGTCACTTCTGAATTCACAGCTAAAAGTACATTTGACCATCCTTATCCCACAACTAAAATAATGTGGATTCCTGACAGTAAAGGTGTTTTTCCGGATCTGCTTGCTACTAGTGGTGATTATCTTCGTGTTTGGCGAGCTGGTGAGTCGGAAACTAGACTTGAAAGTGTATTAAACAATAACAAAAATTCTGATTTCTGTGCTCCATTAACATCTTTTGATTGGAATGAAGTAGATCCAAATCTGATAGGTACTTCAAGCATTGATACTACTTGCACGATTTGGGGTTTAGAAACGTCTCAGGTTGTAGGTAGGGTACATACAGTAGCTGGTCATGTTAAAACTCAATTGATTGCTCATGATAAAGAGGTATATGACATTGCATTCTCAAGAGCTGGTGGTGGAAGAGATATGTTTGCATCTGTTGGTGCTGATGGTTCTGTTCGAATGTTTGATCTGAGACACTTAGAACATTCTACTATTATATATGAAGACCCTCCACATGCACCGTTGTTACGATTAGCATGGAACAAACAGGATCCAAATTATTTGGCAACAGTAGCTATGGATGCATGTGAAGTTATTATTCTCGATGTAAGATTACCATGTACTCCAGTTGCAAGACTGAACAACCACAGGGCATGTGTTAATGGTATTGCATGGGCTCCCCATTCATCATGTCATATATGCACAGCAGGAGATGACCATCAAGCTCTAATTTGGGATATTCAACAAATGCCTCGAGCTATAGAAGATCCAATATTGGCTTACACTGCTGCGGAAGGTGAAATCAACCAAATTCAGTGGGGCGCAACGCAACCTGATTGGATAGCAATTTGCTATAACAAATCATTGGAAATTCTGCGAGTTTAAACTTATGAACTATAATCAAATTATAGTTAAGGTTAGAAAAGTTTAATGCCCATTATTGATGTTTATTGTGTACACATTCTATGAATGATCTATATAAGCTTTTTATCATGTTAATGAAGAGTAAGACTACTTTTTAATTATTAAAATGTGAATGTGCTACTGTATTATTAAGGTATCTTGAAAGTGAGATAGTATGCCAAGTACTTCAGAGGTGTATATAACTAAGGGAAATATTGTTAATATATTTGGTTTTAAAACTTTTTGTAATATTTTTAGGATAAATAGTAGAGCAAATAATGTGTACAACATTTTATTTTGCTCATACCGAGTAATTAAATGTGCTGAAAACTAAATCAATTAATTTATTGAATTCAGAGTTTTCGCTACCATCCTTTGTGGTTTGATTTACTTTTCATTGGCTGTAATTATGTTTGTTTTTCCTTTGTTATTAGTTGTAAATCTTTAAGATTAGCTTTAAGGAAATATATAAAGGCCATAGGCAAACCTCTTACAAATGTCAAGTATAAATAGTTTTTTGTTTGAATGGATGTTTGTTTTCTGTGTATATTATGTTTGTAAAAACTTACTTCTAAATATTGAATTTAAAAAGTTATATTGGTGGACGTGAGTCAATTTCTAAAAGTATTTAAACACTTCGTGATTTTTGAAGACTGTTTTATTGTAGTTAATTTATAATTTATTCCACTTTAATTTTATTTTATTTGCTTTTATTATCTACGTTTTAATTGTTGACACTCTATCAAATAGAGTATGCAATCAAGCAGAGACTGAGCAATTATATCTTTAGAGCCCAACACCACAATGGATATGATAATAAACTTACTACAGTCTGCCTTAATGTTAAGGAAATATTCTGTTTTTGTATTTATTCTGGTCACTAAGCCTTTAATATAGCATTTGCTGAAATGTACATTTTGTTGTGAATTCTTTTTATGTTTTATACCACCTGTTTGCCTTATGAATTAAATAGATGGTTTTAGATTGTATTTTTTTTTTATCTTGCTACCTTTTATATTATTTTTCAACCAAATTTAGTAATATAAACGTATTTTAAGGGGGGAAAATTGAGTAAATATGTATTAGTATTGAAATATAAAATGAATTTTTTTTTTCTAAATGCAGAAATTATCCTATATTAAAAGATTGTATGAAGTATCTTGACTAAAAGAGACATAGATGTTTCCTTTTAGGACTGAGGTATGCAGTAAGGTCTTAACTTAAAAATCTCTGAATATTACTGTTCTGAAAAATTAAGCATTAAATTTATTCTAAAAATTATTCTGTAATAATTATGGTTTTATGGCCAATCTATTTTTTTAACTGGTGTACCTGATGCCTCTATTATCACTAAGTTAATTATTTTAAATTTCCAGTTTGTTTTAAAATATATAACATTTAATTCAGACATTGCCACCAGCAATGCTCTGTGAAATTGACATTATACTCTCAAGACTAAATTTACCCTTCTCAAGCCTTAGCTCTTATTTCAGCCACTTGATATACAAAAATAGCCTGTTTTTTTTTTCTGGATTGGGAACTATTGGTCTTCAAAAACAGATCAAGAGCCTTTAGTATTTTTGTTTTTTTGTTACATAAATGTTAAAATGGGAATCTTGGAATAAAATGTAAAACATAAAAAAGAAATATGAAGTTATATAAGAAATGAATATATATAGTAAAATTAAGACGTTGAGAATGGAGTAGTTAGATAGAAAATTGAGATATTGTAAAGTCTATTAAGATGTACAGACAATGTATTATATAATAAAGAGTTAAAAACTGCTGAAATAGTAAAGAAAATAGTAAATGGACCTTTCTCTCACTTTTTAAATTTATTAATATTAATAAATTACTATTCTATTATACCTCAATGTTTTGATTACATGTAGAAAGGTAAATAATAATTTTAAAATGTCCAGAAACAAAGGCAGGAGGGGTTTTATCAGTCTAGTGGTTAAGTCAGAGCTCGATTCCTCTTCTCCATTTTCCCTCTGAGTGAGCTAACCTGGTAGTTTTATTGACCTTGACCCATACCTTGGATTAAAGGGATTGGCATTTACTTTTTTTTTAAATTGGTAACTAGATAGATGAACTACATCTGGTTGGAAAAAGGTTTATAACCTAAATGGCCAGTATAAGTTTATCCATAACATTTCTTTCACATATTTTATTTGAATATAATATAATTTTATTTATTAATTATAATTATATTAAATATAATTCTCTGTCATGCTCAGAAATAGACTGAGTATAATATATAATCCTAAAATTCTTTTTAATTATCCTCCTTCATCAGAACCAATTTGCAATTTCAAAAACAAAATAATTTAAAAATTTTTAACATAAAAATATGCCGTTAAAGAGTCATGAAGAATAAGTTTTTTCTGTTACCTTAACTATTAAATTTTTAAAATCCTAATATATAGTTGGAGTGGCTGATCATATCAACAGATTGATAGAATAAAATTAAAACTTTTCAGGCCAGAAATTTTTAACTTGGGCATTATTTTCCCTTCATTATGGTTCAAATACAGTTTTTCTATGGTTTGGAAAAAAAATTTATCATTCTTAAACACAAGTTGTGTTTGACATTTTGTGAAATACTGTTTACAACTTATTAAAGTATTATGTAATCATGAACTAATTAATAGTTTTTGTTTAATGAATAAAAGTGAATATTGGAACCATAGAAGACATTACTACCTCATGATTAGAGACCAGATTTCCATGTTATTGCTCATTTTATCCACTTAAGTGTAAAAACTCAGGATGTGAATGTCTACCCGTTTCAGGATCTTTAGACTTACATATTTATATTTGATATTGCAGGTTTTGCTGTATTTGGCTTAAATTGCACATTTGATTTTTGTTGCATTAAATTGCACATTTTGTCATAAATTAGATGATTTACAAATACAAATGTACATGTGTATTGGTAAATCTTTGTGTCTTAATCTTTATATTTTACTGTATTGTCCAAATTAAATTCATGATTCTAGATAGAAAGTAAATAATTCTCTAACAAATGAAAATCTAACTTAACTTTACAAAAGGAAGAAATAAACACACATGGGAAATATTCTAGGAATAGAACTTTCCTAAAGTATTGGATAATAAAAAACTGCTTTCATAGAATAAGATGTTTTGTTTATAAAAAAGAAATAATAATGGCAAAAGTAAGATTTAGTCAAAAATTAATAATATCTATATATAATCTAGATATAAAAATACCCCAAGTTGAAATTTGATTAGAAAGTTTTTCTTCTGTATGCCTTGTGAAAAATTAATCGGATGTGAGAAAATACAAGGTACATGGACTCTCACTTATTTGAGAAACCAAAGTATTAGACTCTGATAAGGTCAGTTCTTACCTATGCTTCTCAAACCTGGCCACTAACTGAGGCAGATGAGAAAGGTCTCCTAATATTTGAAAAAAAAATATTGAGAATATACGGTCCTGTTAAATGCCCCTCACACGTTCAATATTATTGAGCCAATATAATTGAAGACAATATATTGAAGGGTATCTCACACGAGTCAATTATATTGAGTCAATATTATATCAGTTAAAATTTTGCTTTCATTAAACAAGGATGTTTCCAAAGAGGTAACTTTTTTTTTCTGTGGAGATAAATAATAATGAATTTTCTATTACTTTAATTTCCTTGGCTTTAGAATTTTTAATTTTTTTTTTTTTTTAATTTCTTTATTGAGTATTATAACAATCTGTCTGTTCGACATTGGTTATAGTGAGGTAGGATGACATTCACACCATATGTACAAAAAAATAAAATAAATAGAACAAAATAATAATCAAAAGTATATACAATAGACAATAAAATAAAATAACCTAAAAAATAAGAAAATTAAAACTAAGGAAAAAAAAAAAATAACATGCATACCTATATACAATCAGGCGAGGGAACTCCAGGAGAACCCTGCGCTACTCTTCCAACCGCGTCACTGGTACTAAAGCCAGCGGAGATTGGTCGAGAGCACTTTAGCCACATACACACATGTCTTGAGTGAAGAATCTGGCCATTGCCAGAACTCCAATTTATATAATTTACAAAAGGTCGCGAGGCCACTGCCGTTTCAACCTTCTTGGAGGATTATAGGGATGGGAGATGCTTGATAGGGATTGTGCAAGAGGATTTGGGTGGTAAGAAAGGTTCTGGTGAAATTTGGAGAACTTTTCTGGGATAAGGTCTAGGACAAATGGGATGTTAAGGTCATGATGTAGGGTTTTGTTGGATACATAGAAAGGAGCATCGACTATTGTTCGAAGGACTTTAGACTGGAAGGATTGGATGCGCTTGATGTTAGAAAATTTTGCTGATCCCCACAGTTCTAGTCCGTAAGTCCAAATAGGTTTCAGTATTGTCTTGTAGATCAGTAGCTTGTTTTCAATGGAAAGTTTAGATTTTCTGCTTAGTAGTCGGTATAGTTGGCCGTATCGTCGGTTGAGTTCTTGTCTTTTGAGTCTAGTATGCGGGTTCCAAGTTAGTCTTCGGGCTAAATGAAAGCCAAGATACCGGACTGTGTCTGAATAAGGAAGCTGGATGGAATTAAAGAGTACTGGTGGACAGGAATTGCGTCGGAGTGTAAAAGTAATGTGTTGGCATTTAGATTCATTAACTTTAATGCGCCAGTTATTACACCAGTGCTCAATCAAGGTGAGATGACTTTGGAGATTTAAGGATGCTATTTCGGGATCAGAGTTGGATGATAAGATTGCGGTGTCGTCAGCGAATGTTGCAAGAAAAGTATCGGGATGAACAGGGATGTCAGCAGTAAAGAGGATGTAAAGCACGGGACCCAAGACGCTGCCTTGGGGAACACCGGCTTTAACGGAGTAGATATTGGAAAATTCTGTTCCACAGCGAACTCGAAAGGAGCGGTCAGAGAGGTAGGATCGGAGGACTAGGTACAAGGACTGAGGTAAATGGATTTTAAGCTTGGAGAGCAGTCCGGAGTGCCATACCCGGTCAAATGCCTGTGCAATGTCCAGAAAGGCACCCGAACAGTATTCCTTGTTTTCTAGGGCTGAGGAAATATGATCAACGACTCGGAGTCCTTGTTGAACAGTAGAATGTTGAGAGCGAAAACCAAACTGATGGGAAGGGATATTTTGGGATTCTATAATGGGTAGGATTCGTTTCAAAAGGATCTTTTCAAAAATTTTTGAAAGGATTGGGAGTAGGCTGATTGGTCTATAGGATGTTGAGCTATTGAGAGGTTTTCCTGGTTTTGGGAAAAGGATAATAGTGGAGTGTTTCCATAACAGAGGGAAGTGGGTGGTGCGTAGGATACAATTGTAGATATATGTAAGGAATATGACTGCTTTGGATGGAAGTTGTCGAAGGATTTGAGGTGTAAGGAGATCATGTCCAGGAGCTTTACGGAGGATTAGTTTTTTTAATTGAAATTTTACTTCGGAAGGATGAATAGCTTTTGGGGGCAAGGAAAGTGGGATTGGTGATGTAAGGAGTTCTTCTACTGTTACGGTGTGGGCAGGATGGGATTCCGGATGTGAAATAAATGTATTGGATAGGTGAATGGCGAACTCCTCAGCTTTATCTTCGTCAGATGCTGCCCAGGAGCCATCACCTCGTCGGAGAGGATGGGAAATGCGGTGAGGATTTAGGATTTTTGTTGTGGTTTTCCAAAGGGAATTGTCGCGAGAAGAGAGGGAGGATAGGTAGGAGTTGAAGGATTGTGATCTGAAGGTGGCTAATTCCAGTTTTAATTGTTTGCAGTAGTAATTATAGGAGCAGCGGTCGGTAGGATGTCGGGATCGTTGCCATAATAATCTGGCACGGCGTTTGGTGCGGATTAGGTTAAGGAGGTGTTGGGGTAGAATGGTCTTTATAGGAATTCTGGAGGAGTCTTTTGGAAAGGAGGCAGTCCAGGCGGCTTGTTGGATTGTGGTAGTAAAGGAATTTACGGCACTATCAAGGTCATCGGGAGTTTTGAGGGATATGTTGAGATCAATA